GACCAAACGAGAGCGATAGTCGCAGATAAGACCCTAAAGCTCGCGCGCCCGTTCCGTCACGATAGCACGCGGAGGAGCAGGCTGGTGAGCGCTAACTGATTCGCAGGAGACGTTAATCCACGGCGAAGGGGTAGCGCATGCTGCGCTCGATCGATCATAATGGACGAGTCGACGAATTTTCAGGGTCACGGTGGTGCGGCGAGAACGCGAGTTCTCGTTGCGGCCGCGCGCGCGACTCTTCAACGATGCGCTAGTTCCACTCAACGACAAAAGAAAGAGAGAGAGAGAGAGAGAGAGAGAGAGAGACCCGCGTCGTTTTGGTTTCTTTCTTAAAGAGCGACAAACGCTCCGGTTAGATTATCTGTTGGGATTCCTCGCGCGGCTTGTCGTGTCGCCGTTACCGAGATACGATATCGAGACACGCGACCCGGCTGACACTCGCAACAGCTGACAGCCGCAACACTAAGCAGCCTCTTAAACGGGCCCGAAAACTTGCCGGGCCGGGGCCCGGGCACCGTGCCATTATCACGAGAGAGAAACATCGAAGAATTACGGAAATGAATAGGTCGCGATGCGTTAAGCGCGTTATAACGATCAAGAATTACGATGATTATAGCAGATCGCGGTGGACCCGGTGCAACGCGCCTGTTTTCTGTCCGATAGAGAGAGAGAGAGAGAGAGAGAGAGAGAGAGAGAGAGAGAGAGAGAAAGAAGTCCAACGATGCCTCCGCCGGCTGACTGGCCCCGCCAAAGAGACGAGCTTTACGGTGGGACCCACCTTATTAAAGTCTCGTGACGCGCCCCACGAAACGATCGCGTCCCCATAAAAATTCTCTCTCGCTCTCTTTCTCGCCCTCTCCCTCCCCCTGCCCTCCCCCCCTGTCCCTTTTCCCAAATTGGGCCGTGAATTACAAGCCGCGCGCGGCCACGGCGCGCGTTTGCGCCCCTAAACGACTCTTTTAGCCGGCCCAAGTATAGATACCGTTATTAACGCGCGGGCAGTTTATACACACCTCTAGTGCATCGTTATGCGGCCCTGGCTGCCAGACGCAAGTATGATTCCGCGGGAGCATATAAAATATCGTCGTTTCGGTAAATACGCGCGATGTCAGGCCGGTGTTTCGGGCGTTAATAGACGGTGACGGACGGGTTCGTTGAACCGCCTCTTAGTCAAGTAAGAACAACCGCGGGAAATTTTCACGATGAGCCCGGCGGCGGAGGCTCTCTCTCTCTCTCTCTCTCTCTCTCTCTCTCTCTCTCTCTCGTCGGCGACGGGATGTCATCTTCATCTTGGTTTGCTAATCATTCCGCGAGCTTGACTCGGAAATATTTCGCGTTACCGCGCAGATGCCGAAGAGTATACAACGATCGAGTCACGGCGAGGATCTTCGAAATTGCACGCGTATCGTACACACAAGAGGAGGACATTATTCCCTCGAAGGGACGAACGGCGAGCGTAGACACGTATCACAATAGATAAATAAATTAATTTGTTAATGTGTACACACACACACACACACACATAAATTTGATTATTTATTTAGTTGTTATATATACGTGGGTCGATACCTTCGCGTCGATACTCGCGGTAACGCGGTGCATTTTTATCGCCGGCAGAATCACACGAATGAATTTCAGCCCGCGCGAATCAATACTGCAAGACGAGAGGAGTGCAAACTCGAGTTTCAAACACCCGAGTGACCGAGGTGGTTTTTAACGGCTCGACGATCGTGAGGAGGAAAGAAGCGAGGAAACGCGAATCGCTCGCCGAGGCTGTTACATGTACCTCGTCACCGCTCCGCGAAGGAGCCTGCTCCTCGCACAATGGACCGAACTTTCGTTTTATTTGCGTCCTACGAATAGCTAACGTCGCTCCCTCGGACTCGGCTGATCGCGGCCAAAGAAACGCTTGTCAACTAAATTCGCACCGGCTCCTGAACGGGCATTACTTGTGTCGTCGCGGACTGCCAGCAAAGCCGCGAAAGAGACCGTACGTGTCTGTCTAGTACGTGTATCATATACTATAAACAAATGTATTTAACACGAGTCTCCTCGACGGGCCGTAAGAAACGTGTAGAAACGTCGAGCGGAACTCTGTCGCTGCGTATCAGCGCGAAATTTCCTGAACGAAGCGCGCGCGCGAGATGAGAGAAACACGGAGCGGGCAGAGCCGAGGATCGACGCGTATCCAGGATTCTCATTAACTCCTGTTGTCGCGGCAAGTCGGTCGTGCGGCCGGACAAACAATCGGGGAAAACAGTACTCGCGTCGGGCCGAGTGAATTCGAGTGCACGCGAGCGAGAGAGAGAGAGAGAGAGAGAGAGAGAGAGAGAGAGCGACAGAGAGAGAGAGAGAGAGAGAGAGAGAATAGAGGAGGAAAAGGAGATGACACCGCGTTTCGCCGTGAGCACGCGTCGTTACACCGACGCGATCGACGAAGCACTCCCGCGACGTTAGAGTCGCGGAAAATAAATCGTCAGGGAGAAGGTAGAAGAGAGAGAAAGAGTGAGAGGGAAGAGAGACGGGAGGAAGTCGAAGGTGCGCGTTGACGCTGCAAAACCGTCCGCGACCACCTACGCGTTTCACGACGCCGAGCGAGAGCCGCAAAAAGGCGGACAGTCGATCGAGACGATTCGATAGACGACGAAAAGAGAGAAAAAAATACGACGGAACAAAGCGGCACCGAGAGACAGAGAGAGAGAGAGAGAGAGAGAGAGAGAGAGAGAGAGAAAAAAAAAAAAAAAAAAAAAAAAAAAAAGAAGAAAAAAAAGAGAGAAAGAGAGAGAGAGAGAGAGAGAGAGACGATCGAGGCGGGTAAAGAGAGGAGTCGCCGCGCTATTCGCCTGCCGGAGAAGAGGCGAGGAAACTTCCCGCTTGTATCCCGGAATGTGTCGTTTCCGCGCGCAGATTCCGAAGGCAATCGCGGAACGGGTAATCGATAACGCGAGAATTATACAGCAAATATTGGAGCAGGTTGGAAACGGCGATTTACGCTTGATTGATCAGCGCGATTATCGAGGCGAGCGAGAGCGAGCCGCAAAAAAGGGACGCGTCAATACGGCATGAAGATGCCGGGCGGCGGAGCGGCGTGAGACACGTGACCACCTACGCGCAGAGAGGCTTTAAAACAACGTGGAGGAAAAAGGAGGCGGAAAGTGAAACCTTGAGGTGCGCCGGCAAAAACGGAAGACACGATCGAGAGCGCGGTCTCGTCTCGATTTTGAGCGAGCGTCGCGAGACGCGAAATTTCGCGGAGTCGGAACGCACCGACGACGACGACGACGACGACGACGACGGTCCGGAGGCAGCCGGGATACAAAGCGATCTCGGAAATTATATATCGAGCCGATAAGCGCATTTCCGCGTAAAGAATAGTGGCAGATTCTTGCATGAACGGCGAAAGCTCGCGATTCTGACTAGAATGAATTTCGCGTAAAATCCTCACGAGACGTCGGAGGCACGCTGAAGCGACACTTTCGTTGTCATGTTATTCGTGGCTGTTTCGTTTACTCGCGCTGCTTCTTGCTGATCGTGAAAAATTCAGTCGTTGCGCGATCTTGATTTTACCGTCGGCGGCGGCGGCGACGACGACGACGACGACGACGACGGCGACGGCTTTATCACTTTTAACTAATGTTGTGTACAACGTTGTGTACCGTGCGCGACAAGTATGAATTAGTTACGCGAACAGATTCTCAGACGCAGCGACAAAAAATGAGTAATCGCAGCTCTGCGCCAGACAATTTGTATATTAGAGAGACGACGATCGACGAATGAGCCAAAGAGGATCGGGATAGAGGCGAAGCTGTCCGCGCAACGGCGATCTCTCGACGTCCCGTGTACGCCATTTTTTCGGAAGAACATGGACTCCCTCTCTCTTTCCTGCTCTATCTTTCTTCTCATATACAGACGGTACACGCGCATATCTCGTTCCGCATATTTCGCTCGGACTTTTTTCCCCATTTTCTCCTCCTCTTTCGGAATTTAGAAGATGTTGCAAGCTAACAAACGCGAATGATTGATGCGGACGAAAGATCGCACCGACAATTTTTCACTATACGTGATTAGCGCACGATAACCTGAGCAAATAATTAATAACTTCTGCGTAATACGGTATAGTTTATCATCGTTTCAGCGCGCGCGCACACACATACACACACACACACACGTACACATTCATACACTACACTACTTGTGACGCAAAATACCGCGAACCACGGACGACTACGTCAGCTTCGCACCTATCTGTTTAAGCCTCTTTGGCAAGAACAATCCAGACAGAGAAGATGAAAACAAAACTAAGAGTAGAAAGAGAGAGAGAGAGAGAGAGAGAGAGAGAGAGAGAGAGAGAGAGAGAGGGGGGGGAGAGAAGCGAACATATCGCAAGAGCGAGATAGCGATCGTGTCTCAAGTGGCAATTGGAAGTTGTTGAACCGCGCGCGACTCCGCCGAACCTACCGATCGTATCGATAATGACAATAATAATAGTTAGAATTATAATAATCGCAGTAATGAGAAATAATTATCGTAATAGTAATCGCAAATGACAATATAATAGCGGTGACGAGTAATATAATAGCAATAATAATAAAATCACCAAAGATAACGCCGGGGGTTTATCATAGTTACAAACATTTTTCGGGACCAGACAGTGTAAACGTCGTAATGATATAATAGTAATAATAATAATAATAATAATAATAATAATATAATAGTATAATAATAAAATAAACAGAATAATAATAATAATAATAGTAATAAGGTAATGTCGATAAGAACATCGCGTTAAAACTCTTTGACGTATACATAGAGACACATTGCCAAAAATTTATCGTCTTAACCGTTCTCTCTCACGCGCCTATATATATATATATATATATCCTTTTCTCTCTAATCATATATATATATATATATATATAATTTTGTTTATATATATATAGACTCGCGCGCGCACGCGCGTGTGTTTGTGTGTATATACATATATATTTATGTGTACTTACTCTTTATACAGAAGGGGTTTTTCGCATGAGGGGGGATCTGTCTTGCTGTCTCGCTAGGATTTCGCACGCGCTTTTCCGACACGCGTTCCCTCTCCGATGTGTGCGCCCTGTCCCGTTTTTGTTTTTTATATATAATCTGTCCCTCTGTTTTTTTTTTTACTTCGTCGCGCCGCGTACTCTTTGTGTCTCTCTTTCTCTTCTCTTCCTTCCTTCCTTCCTTCCTTCCTTCCTTCATCCTCTTTCTTCTCTTCCCTTCTCATTCTCCTCGTTTTTCCTTCGCGTTCTTGCCCTCTCCTCCGTTTATTCCAGCTCCCGCGTCTCTGCTTTTCGAAAGCCCTCGCTCGCCGGCGACGACGACGACGACAACGACGACTCATGCTCTCGTTCTCACTTAACTTACTAGCGCTTTATCTAGTACATTATTTACAGTCCATATTTACTTATGTTACATCATCCGCCGAGAGTTTGCACCGAGCAAATCCCGCGCGAACACAGCACTCTCTCTCTCTCGCCCCTACGTGCGTTCCTTTCTTGCGTTACGCCCATTCTCGTCCGTCCGTCCGTTCGCGTTGCGTTCTCTCGGACCTTCGCGCTCCTTCCTCGCGACAGGTGACAAGCGGAAATCACGTCCGCGCGCGCGCGCGCGCGCGCGCGACGACGTCACCCGTCGCGCTGGTACATGTCTCTCTCTCTCTCGTGTCCGATATTAGGATCTCGCGCTTTGCTCGCGCGAGAGCGAGAGCGAGAGCGAGAGGGAGAAGAAAGAAACCACACACGCACACAGACACACGCACGCACACACACACACACCTTCGTTGTTCCTTCAGCCGCACCCTCGAGTAGTCCACCTTGCGTCCGCGCACCCCGTTATCGAGCCATCCTCTTGCTCTCTGCCGACGGTAACCGCCGGATGAGAGAAGCACTTTCTTTCATCGACGACGACGACGACGACGACGACGACGACGATGAAACAACAACAACAACAACAACAGCAAACAGCCAACAAGGTCCGCGGTTCAGCCAGGACTTCACGAACGAACGAACGAACGAACGAACGAACGGGCACCGACCTGGCCGCGCGCGCGGAGGAGGAACGTCATCACCATGGCCGTCGTTATGGGTATCCCTCGGAGAGAACGAACACGGTGCTTCTCTGCTGGAACGCGTCGTTGTTTCCACGACGCGATGAAAAGGTTCTTCTCTCTTTATCTCCTTCCTCTTCATGCCTGGTTTTCTCTTTCACTTGTCGGTGTCACACATCGCTCGCACCGATGGAGAAAAGTAACGGGCGCCGCGGTGGTGCCCGCGAGCGAGCCGAGCGACGACGACAACGACGACGACGACGACGACAATGATACTTCGATGCCTGAACGATATCCTGAAAGAATCCGGGCTCTCCTGGAACGGTTCGGCCGTGTGATACATTGACACGCTCGCGCGCGCGTTCACTCTTTCCATTTCTCGCGTCTGTCCTTCCGTCTGTGAGATTCCCTTCTTCCGTCCCTTCCATCCTGTCTTTCTCTCTCTCTCTCTCTCTCTCTCTCTCTCTCTGTTGGCCTGTTGCGCGGTCAAGGTCGACAAAAGATCGCCGACCGAGCGCGTCAGCTCAGCCTCCCCGGTGGACCGGTCCCGGCCTCGTTAAACCCCGTTGAACCTCGCCGAACGAGCCACCATTCCGTACCTTCGTCCCGGTAACGAGCGCCGCCGTTGTCCGGCAGGTAGGAAGGTCGCTGCGAGTCCGTCAGCTACGACGTCGTGTAACTGCCGGTACGCGCCTGAAGGTAGTGATGATAGAACGGCGGCAGGCTCTCCGCCGTCGACGACACATTCGCCGAGTTCTGCGAGGAGGTTATCGCGAGGCCCAACGGGGGAGGCCCCGGCGAACGCTAGTGAGCCGTGAGCGAATGGGCAGTGATGCCCTGAGGGCTCAGCATCGGCGGACTGTGGCTGTGGCCCATGGGCGAGCCGTGCAGGTGATCCTGCGGATGATAACTCTGATGGAGGCCACCCTGACCCTGGTGACCCGGCGGCATGCCCTCCATGATGCCGTCGCCGAGCGTGTTGGGCGGCGTCATCCTCTTCTCCTTTTGCCGTCGGTTGCAGAACCACACCCTCACGACTTCCTTCTCGAGCTGCAGACTGTCCGCGAGCGAGGTGATCTCCTGCGCCGACGGTTTCGGCTGTTTGTGAAAGTGCTGCTCGAGCGCGCCCTTCACCGACACCTCGATCGACGTCCGCTTCTTCCGCTTGCGGCCCTGCGCGGCGATCTTGTCGATGCTCGTCGGCGAGCCGGTCGTCGAGTCCGCCTCCTCGAGCCACTTCTGCAGCAGCGGCTTCAGCTTGCACATATTCTTGAAGCTCAGCTGCAGAGCCTCGAACCTGCATATTGTCGTCTGCGAGAAGACGTTGCCGTAGAGAGTACCGAGCGCGAGACCGACGTCCGCCTGGGTGAAGCCGAGCTTGATGCGCCGTTGCTTGAACTGCTTGGCGAAAGCCTCGAGGTCGTCCGACGTCGGCGTGTCCTCCTCGCCGGCGCTGTGATCCCTGTCGAGGGGATGGCCAGCGTGCAGCGGGTGCCCCGACGGTGGACTGTGATTGTGCGCGTCCCTCAAGTGATGAGGTAGTCCGGGCTGGTGGTTGTGCAGCTGATGCGGATGCTGATGCGGGTGCTGGTGCAGCATGCCGTTCATCGCCGCGTGGTACTGCTGGAGGGTGGTGGGCGAGGCCGCACCACCGCTTGGGTTGTAGTGCGCCGACGGTACGACCGGTGCGTGCCAGGAATGCGGCGACGCCATACCCGGGGACTGATGCGGTCCCCGGTGATGCATCCCTTGGTCCGTAGCCGTCGCCGCCGCCGCCGCCGCCGCGGTCAACGGCTTCACGTCGAGGCTCGCATTCGCCTGATGCGGGTGATGATGCGGATGATGGGTGGTGTGGTGCATGCCCATCGACGCGGCCCATGGATCGCTGCCCGGCTGCAGGCTCACCCAGGGATTCGCCGACGAGAGACTCGCCGCTGGATGCGACAGGCCGTTCGGCGACGGCGAAGACGTCATCTGGTGATGATGGTGATGGTGGTGATGATGCTGCGGCGCAGGCATGTACTTCATCTCGCCGGCGTCGGCGGCGCTGCGAGGCGAGCCCGAGGAGTAGCCACCCACGGCGATGTTCATCCCGATCGTTGTACCTGTACCACCATCCAGGTCGGTAGAGACTGCGCTACTAACCGGCATGTACGTGGTAGCGGCCATCTACTTTTCCGCTCGTCGAGAGGCTTCGCGAAACCCTCTCAGGATGTGTTCCCACCGTGGGCCGTGCCACGGGGCAAGTTTCTCTCGCGCGTTTATCCCTGTCGCGCCTTGTTGGAGCCTTGATCTTGGTCACGATGCTGTGCAGTATTTCGGACTCTTCGGCTTCACGTCGATGGACGACGAAGGAAGGTAGCGACAGCGAGAGAGAATGAGAGAAAGAGGAGCAAGCAGGAGGAGAGCAAGAGAGGGAGGGAAGGAAAGAAAGAGAGAGAGAGAGAGAGAGAGAGAGAGAGAGAGAGAGAGAGGGAGAGAGAGAGAGGGAGAGAGAGAGAGAGAGAGTCCAGTCTCTACGATCCAATGAGTAGATGTCTCGGCGAAGAACGTCGGATCGTCGACACAGAGTCTCTCTCTCCGTAAGACCCCGGCCAGACAGAGAGACGTTGTCGATCGCGCGCGTAGTTATTATCCACCTGACGACAACGCGCGGTGATCGCGCGATCGCGAACGATCGTCGTCGACGAAGCAGCAGTCCCTCTTAGTAATCACTGATCACACTCGTAGCACCGTCCACAGTTCGCGACGACGCGCACTGATTGCCACCAGACGATGCTGGCTCTCGTCGAATTTTCGTCCATAGTTTCTCACGAATGTCATGCGAGCGACCACACGGTAACATCGATCGCGCAACGGATGTGCCGTTCCCCTGATCCTCCTCACGGACGGGGTGGTTCCCCGGCGGAGGCAGTACGTCGCTCCGGTACGGAGCACCGCGCTCTGTCGCGGCGCTCCACGACACCTGTCTCGCTCGCCCTCTCTCTCTCTCTCTTTCTCTCTCCTATCTCTCTCTCTCTCTCTTCCTCTCTCTCTTTCTCTCGTCCGCCCGCGCGCGGTGGTGCTCTTGACGTGGAACCACTCGTTCCCGCACGAGAATCACACGCGAAACTTTCTTCGCCTGAACACCCCGTGGCTGGCTGGCCGACTCACACCAGCCGGGGCTAGTCACTCGCGACGACGATATCGATTCAGTCGACGATCACTCATCCCTGCTAAGGGACAACCTCGACAACTTGCCGAGTAATCACACTATTTCGTCTCGCCGCCGCCGCCGACAACGACGACGACGATGATGATGACGATGATGATGATGATGGCAACAACGGTGTCTACGATGATGCGAGTGTTACTCCGCACTGGCGCCGTGTCCGTGACTCCGACGTGGTGGAGCCGTACCGACGACGACGATGCACGACGCGACTGCACTCGGGGGTTGCCACCGCGGACCGACCGAGCAGCGAGCGAGCGACCGACCGGCTCGACGTAAAGGGACGTACGACGGTAATCGCGGAACGGAAGAGACTCGACTCGGCGGGAGTAGAGTAGGTATATGATGTCGTGCGTGTGTGTTCCTCCTGGCGGTGGATGTCCCTCTCTTTACGTGAGTGTACGTGTGCGTATACATACGTATACGTGTATGCGTGAGAGAGCGTGTGGGTGAGAGTACCAGGACAGAAAGAGAGAGAGAGAGAGAGAGAGAGAGAGAGAAAGAGAGAGAGAGAGAGAGAGAGAGAGAGGAAGAGAGAGAGAGAGAGAGAGAGAAAAAGAGAGAGAGCGAGAATGTGTACGAACGTGTATTGTGTATGTGTATGTGTGTGTGTGTGTGTGTGTGTAGTGTGTGTACGTGTACGTGTATGTGTGTGTATAGCGGCGGAGGAGAGACGGGTTAGAAAGATCTCGCTCGGGCTCTCATGCGTTATGCATGTCGTAGCTGAGAGCGACTGACTGCCTCGCCTCGCAGCTCGCCCGAGGTTCCCGAGCTTCCCGGAGCACTTGGTGGAGGTTCGTCATGCGCGCCACCGTCGTGCACATCCCTACCACAGCAGGTAGTGCGGCCTGCAATTGGTCCAACTCGCAAGGTGGCCGTCGACGTACGTCAGCATCAGGCGGAACCTAGCGTGACCGCGCCTACGAGGCAGGCGAGGCACCCCAGGCGCCAGTCCTTTTACCCCTCTTGCCGTCGTTCGACTACGTTCGCCTGGCTAACGACGCTCGTTCGCTGACGCCGCCGTCGCTGCCACCGATGTCGCCGCCGCCGCCGCCGCCGCTACCGCCACCGCCACCACCACCGCCACCACCACCACCACCACCACCACCACCACCACCACCACCACCACCACCACCACCACCACCACCACCACCACCGCCGCCGCCGCCGCCGCCGCCGCCGCCGCCGCCGCCGCCGCCGCCGCCGCCGCCGCCGCCGCCGCCGCCACCGCCGTTGCCGCCGCTGCCGCTGCCGCCGCCACCGTCGTTGCTGTGCCGCACCGCGCCGCCGCTGTACCACGGCAGCAACCGCCGCCACACCGTGCTGCGCCGCGCAGCAACCGCGCCGTCACGTTGCTGCAGCTGCAGCCACTGCCGCCGCCGCCGCAACACCGAGGAGCACGACTCGAGCAGACTCGACACGCGGCAGCGCTCGTCGCACATTCGCTGTTCGTTGACGTAGCGCACACACTTTGCGACTTCTTCTCAGGTGCAGGCTGTTCCAATTCTTCTCTCTCTCTCTCTCTCTCTCTCTCTCTCTCTCTCTCTCTCTCTCTTCCTCTCTCTCTCTTCCTCTCTCTCTCTCTCTTCCTCTCTCTCTCTCCCTCTCTCTCTCTCTCTCTCTCTCTCTCTCTCTCTCTCTCTCTCTCTCTCCGCTTATCTGCGTCCATGCACATTGCTCTTCCCGAGTGAATTCTCCCAGACGCGGCGACGGCAGTTTCGACAATTTTGCGCAAGAAGTCGCAGATGATTCGTACGCGACCGTCGCTTTCGCGACAAGCGTGCGCGCGCGCGCACACACACGCAACAGGTACTAATTTCGGCGGATAATTGTATGCGCAGTTGTGAGGCACATTGATAGACGTCGCGGCTGCTCGAGATTATCCCTGTTTCTCCTCTTTCTTCTTCTTCTTCCGGGTGAAATATGTCTTGCGCTCGTGCTGCGCGCACAGGTCGCACATGCAGTCGCCACGTGAGAGGCGTTGTTGTTGTTGTTGGATCGAGCGAGCGACGGTGAAATAAGCACGTAGTGATCTCGCCGAGATCTAATGGGGAGCGACTGCGAGATCCTCATTTTCTCCCTCCGTCGGGGCTCAACTGTCAGCGACTGTCAGCGACTGTCGGCAGCTGTTAACGACTGTTAGCGACTGTGAGCAACCGTGCGTCGGCGACTGTCAACGAGTATCGGCGATTGTGTAAGACACGCCTGTCCAAACGCACGCATTGACCCCGCTGATGCTCGGGTACCGCGACGCAGCGCGGCGCGGCTGTCACGTACGCCGGCGAAAGATCAATTTTTCAGGCACAGCCGCGGTACAATCCTGCCTGTCGACAGTTTCATTTCCTTTTCGCATAGCTCGCGGTGCAACAGGTGTACACGGCTAACCGTTGCCCTCGACTCGCCCGCTGATTACGCGCGCCTTCGTTATCGATATTCCGCACCTCGTCCTTCTCCGTCGCCGTAGCGATGGAGAAGAAAGAAAGAGATCAACCGAGGAAGATAATCATCCACCGTGGCGAACGCGAGGCTTCGATTTTCGCAGCCGGTTCTATGTCTCTCCTTCTCTCCTTTTCTCTCTCTCTCTCTCTCTCTCTCTCTCTCTCTCTCTCTCTCTCTCTCTCTCTCTCTCTCTCTCTCTCTCTCTCTCCCGCCACGCGCGCAAACGGCGAACGAAGCGAAGAGAGACAGCTCTGCCGAAGATGCCTCTCTCGAAAGTGGGCTATCAGTCTTGCGCTACAATCTCCCACAAGCAATTACACCCGAAAAATGCAGTCGGCAGAAAAGCGTCTAGGAGCTCCGATTACCACGCGGGGAATCTCCGATCTGGAAGATCGATCGATCGATCGATCGGCGATTACGCAACGGCAACAGGTACCGTTCGGACCAGCCGATTAATTACGCAGAAAAGTGTCCGATCTCCGGCCGCTTGAGCAGGAGGGCCGGGGGTGGTATCAATAAGAACGGAAAGAGCAAAAAGCGGCGGGCGAAAGCGAGTAAGTGCCACCGAGGAGCGAAAGGACAAGGTGGGGGCGAGGGGACGAACGCGCGCGCGAGTGAGCGAGGTTTAGTACATTTAAATGAGAGCCACAGGTAGCAGCATTATGCAGTACGTGCCAGCCACCCCTCAGGAGGGGTGAGTTAGATCATCGTGTGCCGCGGGATCCTCCTGTGTCGTAGTCTGTTTCAACTATCCGGCTTTTCTCGCCTTCGCACCTGTGGCCGCGCTCGCGTTATTGTTGCCGCGCTAACTTCCTCCGTTTCTTCTTCTTCTTCTTCTTCTTCTTCTTCTTCTTCTTCTTCTTCTTCTTCTTCTCCTCCTCCTCCTCCTCCTCCTCCTCCTCCTTCTCCCTCCTCCCCCTCTTTTTTCTTCGTATTTCTCGCGCGTGCGAGGAAGCGCGGCTAATTATCGCTCGTACGCGAGACGTACGCGAAAGGTTTCCTGCGCTTCGAGCGTTACGATAAGAAAAAGATTAAAGAGCGAGAGGGAGGGAGAGAGAGAGAGACCCGCACTTTCTCGCCGTCTCCTTCTTATCCTGCGATCCAAGTACCATGACATAGAAACCGGATACATTCAAGGGATACTTGACGAGCCTGATAATCACTCGCGTTGTTTGCTTAACGTTGCCTCATCGATGTTGAATTTGCGATCGAGCTGCAATTAAAGCCCGACCTTAATCAGCCGCTATGTTTTACACGAGCGGCGACACGGTTGTCGACGCAACTATCCGCGGAGAAAGCCGCGACGGGGACAGTCCGATCCGTAGCGACAGCCCGCGAGTCGGCCGCGGGAAAACTGCTGATATGAACGGTGTCGGCGAAGCAAAAGCCGCTGCCGAGAATATCCTCCGGCTACGCTCGCCAGTATTCCTACGAGGCATTCTCCAAATAATTTTCCGCAAAGTGCAACAGTTGGCCGTGGTGTTTCTAGGTCGTCGGCGCGGCAAAAGCGGAGGCCCCCCTGAGGCCGCGTCTCTGCGAGCTCGTTAAGTTCCCGATGCCTGCGTCCTCGTCGTCGTCGTTCCGTTACATCCGCCCACGAGAGAAAGAGAAGACGATCGGCTCCCGCGGAATCGACGGGGCTTCGCCCGTCGCGCGTTTTCCTCATCGGCGCCGCGCCGCCGCGCCCGCAAAGAGCCGGTCGCGCCGCCGCCGCCGCCGAGAGGAAAATTATGCATTCCGCGTGTACGCGAGTGTACGTTGCCCGTACGAAGGCGGCCTC